AAACTGGCCCTTATAGTATGTAGTATGTAGTACTATAGATTGCAGTTCGTTTCTTAAGTCTTTTGTTTTCACTCATCGCAATATTTTGCAAACGACTGGCATTGGGATTGGGATGCCTTTGGGCGTATAAATTATTTTCTACATGCACTGTACGCTGCAAGTTGCGTAGTAAATAGAATATTTAAGTACATTTGTTTACACTAGGGTTGACACAACCAAATGACAATTCCAATAATTCAAATGATTACAAAAAAACACGGTGGCTCGTACTAACACTCCGTAGGGCCTTGGTTCGATCCCATAAATACATTTGCCTTTCGGAGGCGGCGTAAAACTGTAGGTCGCTCAAATTGTGTAACAACGACAACAACATCAAGACGCACACCATAAATTGGAGGAGATGCTCGGCTAAACGCTTAGTACAATAGTTAAACCAGTCATAAGGCCGTGTCACACGATTGGTACATTTGTACAGATATGTTTATTTTTTATATTGGGCAATTGGTAAAAATAAAACAATTGGGACGACATTTTTTTTTTTTTTTTTTTAGTCACACGATTGGTAACGTACGGCGAACTTCTCGGGCAATTTGTCGAATGGGTGGGTGGGTACTATTTTTTGATATAAGGAAAAAATAGAGCAGAATCAAACCAGAGTTTCAATTGTTAATAAAAATTCATTTATTGGTTTTGTTAAAAAAAAAAAATTATTATTTTTTGTCTGAATTTAATTGCATCAAAGTCTATAATTTTTATACCCGAGCGCACTTGTGCACAAGGGTATATTAATTTTGTTCACATAACGGTTGTTTGTAACAGCCAAAACGAATCGAGATAGATATAGACAAATGTATACATAAATACTCAGAATGAATAGAGAAATCGATTAAGCCATGTCTGTCTGTCCGTCCGTCTGTCCGTCTGTGCGTCCGTCTGTCCATCCGTCCGTGTACACGATAACGAAAGATATCTCAACGAAATTTGGTATGTCGGTTTCCGTTAATCCAAGGTAGGTTGGTATTGAAAATGGGCGAAATCGGACTGTAACCACGCCCACTTCCCATATAACGGTAATTTCCAGAAATACTAAAACTGCGATATTTTAGTAACTACTGAAGATAATTCACTCAAAATTGATATTTACAATAATTTTCAGACGAAAAATAAGAATATTATAAATTTTTGAAAAATGGGCGTAGTCACGCCCACTTATGGTTACATGTGTATATCTTGGTAACCGCTGCACCAATTTCTTCCAAACTTGGCGCAGTGGTTGGCCTTGGTACAGCATACTAAATGGCCGAAAATTTAAAAAATCGGACAATAACCACGGCCACATCCCATATAACGGTAATTTAGAGAAATACAAAATCTTCGATAAATCAGTAAATATTAAAGCTAATTTATTCAAAATTGATGGTTGCAACAATTATTTACCAAGAAATACGTTTAAGGTAAAATTTTGGAAAATGGGCGTGGCACCGCCCACTTATGACCACATACATATATGTATATCGGTAACCGTTCTACCAATTTGTACCAAACTCGGTATTTTTATTGTGCTTGCTACATAAAAGCAAAACGTTGAAAATTATTGAAATCGGACTAAAATTACGGCCGCTTCTCATATAACGGTAAATTTCAGAAATGCTTGAAACTGCAATATTTCGAAATTTAAGGACGCTAATTTACTCAAAATTAATACACCCCGGCTTACCATCTAACGGTAGCTTTCGGAAAGTTGAAAAAACATATATTTAATGTTCGGCTCCACCCGAACTTAGACTTTCTTACTTGTTGTAAGTTAAGTTTGTATTTGAAACATATGACCCAACAAAAACTTTAAGAGAACAAATTGGATACAATCGCATATGCAAATTTACAGTTTGCTTATTAGCATATTGGTAGGCACCTATGTATGTACCTGCATACATTCATTTGTACATACATATGTATGTATAAATGTA